TTGCAAAGCCGATTATGAGCACGGTTATGGGCGCGAGCAAGTATTTCAATCTGAAATGCACTGACATCGCGTGCCGGATAATGCAGATTAAATTGCATGGACAAAATGCGCCACTACTCTCAACTCGACACAAACACACATACACTCGCTCTATCTCCCGTTCTCTCTGTCTCCCTGATTCGACTCTATTTGCTTCCAGAAAGCAATGCACAATTTATCACCAAAATAAAAACTCAACACTGTTGAATCTACATCTCGTTCATACCGCTTACTTTACACGTAAAACCCGTTTCATTGCAATTTAATTGAATAATTAATTTACCGACGGGGTGTACGTGTCAGCAATGGAATTTCCAAAAGCGAATTCATCGTTTTGCTTTACCTTATTTTTCAATTCGAACACCATTCACATGTTCATTGCAAGTGAAAATGATTCAATCCATTCAAAAAAAGGGGAGGGAATCGTCATTGTGGTATGTGCAAAAAATGGTTTACTAAATTTTTCAGTGATAAAAAAGCTGTTGATTTTAGGGAGCAGAATTTAAACTAAACAAAGTTCTGAACTTGCAATCATAAATCCTTTTTTTTTAAATTACTTTTCGTTCAACACATAGTGTTAACTAAGTGTGGTTTCTACCATAGAAAAAATGCACATTCAAACCGCAAACATTTTTCACCAATTTCTCACAGAGAGCATAGTTTATTGCCAACACCACACACACACACACACACACACACATACACAATGTAGAATGTTTGGCTTGAAACCATTATTATATGCATACGAAAAGTTTTCAATTTAAAACTAGCAGCTAGTAGATGAAAAAGTTTCATTTCTGAATAGCTAATACGATTCTCTGCATTCATGCGATGCATTGCTTTTCGTTTCATAATATGATTCCTTTTTCGCCGGTGTTACTCGAAAAATAAATAAAAACATAATAAATGTTTTCGACGAATTGTTATTTACTTTCGTCATAATTTTTAATGTATTTTATTTCCGTCGAATTGGTCAATGCAATGTGAATTTTCCGGTGGACTCGGCTAATATATGTGTCATCAAAATGTGGGAGAACAAAGTGTTTTGGCGTGTTTTATTGAGTCATAAGTTCTGTCAATTGTCCTTTAATCCGGAGATTTTCAATCACGCAACTTTTTTTCCTGTACAAAATTTTATTGTTTAGTTGATTTTATACTGTTTGTACGCGTGATTTGACCATACTTTGTATATATGATGAAGCATATAAAAAGTAAGAAACCAAAAAAAAGTGCGCCTGTCGGAAGGAAAACCAATGAGGCAATGGAAACAAATGTGCGAAAGCATTGCTGTGAAAGCGAAAAAGTGAGCCAAAAGTCGATTACTATCGTTTGAACAAAGTGGCCATTCTTGGATGCCTTCGCTGACCGGAAAAGATAAACATATTCAAGTGTATTCATATAGCAATTTTGGCAACAACAGCAAACAAAACGAAATTCCATTCGTATGAAATGGTACGGGAGGCAGGTTAGAGAATGTTTGGCTATCAAGAAAGTTCTTAATTTTTTATGCCGAAGAAAAGGTTTCGATTCACATTATTTTTTGGGATTCCATAAAGTGGATGCGAGGGTATTGCATCATTTGACGGTTTCGCATCGAACGAGATGGTGAATGGGAGCGAACGAAAGAAGAGGTAGAGATAAGATGGAGAAAAAAGGAACCCGAAAGGGAATAATCGACATTTCGACTTTTGAATTGTTCCATGAGACGAAAAATGCAAATTGGCCAGTGTGTGCATGAGCTAATTTCAAAGCGTAAAGCTTTCATAATTCCATTGGGACCGAATTCGGCAATTTTTTTTTTCTCCATCACTCTCACTTTCTCTGGTGAACGTATCGTAAGTCATTAAACAAGTATCCCAATTCTCTTTTTCTGTGTGTCATTTTCAGCTTTAGCAATTTTCTTAATCGACAACATTGTTCCATTTCACATCATCACCATCATCATCAAGAGCATCGGCATCGTTATCGTTGTGTTGTTGAAGCTCAGCACCATTTCATTCATTTCGATTCAGTTGCTAGGTGCAAGCCACAGAATAAATTCCACACAGTTTTCGTTGAATTAACATATTTTCAGGCACTACTTCAATTTGTTCGGAACAATCCAATGAGCTCTGGCACACCGCTCAGTTGTGTCGTTAACATTCATACCGAATGCATAGTGTACAAACAAACACACTTATAGACAGAGTCACAGACAGAGACAATGGATGAGAGGAAGAGTGGAATGAGACCTCTCTATTTCTCACAACAAAATTATTCTCGTACTGTTGAATGTGTGTCACATAAACATTGAAATACACTCAAGACACCGCTCATATGCGCTGGTACTTCATCACATCAATTTTGCTTTTGCCGCTTTACCGCAATATCCACAGCATATGTTGCCTGGTCTTTGTTGTGCTTGTTTAGTTGGACGATGCGAATCTATTTATCACTTGTAGACACATTTTCGTTAGAGATTATTATTATTTTAGTTCATTCAATGGTTATGTATGTGTATTGTGTTGGGCCAAAGTAGCTGCTTTGTGTTTGCCAAGAAGCACTCAAGCGCCCGAGGAGAAGCAAACCAGATTGCGGGGAAGCAAAAGTGCGAGAGTGAGAGAGAGAGAGTTAGAGTTACCGAGCTCGTGTGCAACAATGAATCGCTTTGTCTTCATTTTCACGTGTTAATATACTGTGCTCGTGGAATATATACCACGTATTTTTCGGCATCTATCTCATCACAGTACAGTACAGTACAATATGGAATGGTAGAGTACGTAGTAAAAGCTCTGGCGCACAGACACATTCAGTTTTCTATGCGCTTCCGTATTTAATGAAATTTGTTTTTTTCCCTCTCGTTGCCGTGTTTTCTTGTAATTATAACGAATTATGTGCAGCTATTAATTTCTTGTTGTAGCATTTTTCCGGTGATTTTCAGCACAGCACCGAATCTACCCACTCGTCTGTATGCCATTTCTCTTGGATCTTCTTTCATTTTTATTGTTTTGCTTTCGATGAGCCTCCCTTCTTGGTCTTGTTGTTGTATATATTTTATGTGTGTGCGGATGTTGCTTGAAAAATGAAAATGTTCAACAGCAAGCCCCTTCTTAAATGTTTCAATTGGCAAAACAGACACAATGACGGCAAGAGAAAGAACAACAGCAACAACAACAGTAATACAACAACGAAAAAATGATGCTTTATTTGATTAGAACAGTGCACGTTGGCAAATATGGCAATGGGCATGCGAATGGGAGAATAACGTCTATGAGCTCATGCCTTTGGAAGTCGGTCAAATGACGTTTCTCTTTTCACAATAGATTTTATTAATAATTCGCAACTTAATTGCGCCACACTCACAACTACTATTTTCATTGTGAAAGCGCGTTCGTTCGCTGCCTCAAGAGAGAGAGAGAGAGAGAGAGAGAGAGAGAGAGAGAGAGAGAGAGACAGAGAGACACACACACACACAGAGAGAGAGAGAGAGAGCATCGTTAAAATCATTTTCGACTTGTGCGCATTCCCTTCAAATTGTAATTGTTCTGATTCGCTTTTTCACTTTTCTCTAACCGAAGTGGGTACGACAATGAGAATATACTGCGAAAAGTAGCATGTGTTTTATTATATTTATCTTCTGTCTCTATTCTTGCGCAAATGCCACTGCGGTAGGTATTTGAACTTGGGATTGAAGATTAGTATTTATTCAGGCCATTCTCGGGATATTTGTGAGCCTTTAAGATTTTAATGGATTTTCTTATGCTGATTATATAATAGCAAATCCCATTAAAATCCATGGAATAAGAGAGAGAGAGAGCAAAGCGACAAACACATTTCGTGCGATTTATTCCGATGACAATTTCGGTTCTCCAGCAAAAGATTTAATCAATATGTCTACAAGCTGGTCACCTGCGTCGTCGCCACAAATTCCAAATCTTGTGAATTTCGCACGGAATTTTTATTTCTGTCATTTAAAATTATGCTCACAATAATGTGATACACGGCTTGTCCAATAGATAACATTATCAATTTACTTCTTTCGTTTCTTTTTGCTTCTTCATTGTTGAGCGAAAAACGTGATGACTTCTTGGTACACATCAATTCATACATTCGAAATGAAAAATTCATAACGAAACGCAACCAATTCGTTTCATAAATGTCAGTCGGATTACTGACACAATTCACCGAAATTTACTTGATATCTATTACGATAAATATCAACGTGACTTACGTACTGAATATTTCATAGAGCGTTGTAATGGCGCGCTGGCACAAGCCAACTGATTGCACGTATTTATTGGTTCATAAATCAAAGTTTAATAGAAAATATCGAGCTGACAAAATGAAAATAAATTGTTTCCTAGAATTGGTTTACATGCATCGAACGCGTTTTTGTATGTTCGTTTTCACCCTTCTCTTTCCTCCTCATGTGCTGTGACGCATTCAAATGTAAGTAAGCTTATGGCATGAACGCTCATCATTAGATGGAGAAGAAGAGGAAGAAAAACCCGAATATATCGTTGCACATTTGTCAATATATTCCATTTGAATACAGATTTAAAATAAAATCAAATTGCATCACATAGGCGATTTGGTTTTTAATTGAATTTTGCTTCAATTAGACGTTCATATGCGCTTCCTGAACAGTGTGGAGTTCAAATGCATTACAAATCGATAATATTTGAACAATCGAAATTTACGTCGATTTGCTTCGTTGAAAATTTCATAAATTTTACTTTTTGTGAAAGCAAAATGAATAAAAATAACGAGAATGGAAATGGTAAAATTCGGAAATTAGCATTTTCTATAACCGATCAATTATTACCACTCAAATTGGTTTTGCAAATTCGAATCAATTGTTCCTTTTGTTTTCTCTCCATTGCCAATGGATATGCTCGATTCGATTTCCCTGATAAGATTCAAGCTGAGAAGTGGTTATAAAAGTGGTTATATCGGCGAGCAGCGCATTCGACAAGATTTTATTTGGTCAAAATGACCTCGAAAGCTCTGTGTATTTCATTATTTATACTTTTTGCGACTGTTGCATCTCAGGTAAAAATTTGGTTTTTCAACATTCGCTTTTATGATTGATAATGATAATTCAATATTTCATAGTGAACATATGTTAATTTGTACACTTTTGTTTCAAGGAATATTCTGAAAGTGGTCCATTAAACTACCTACTTAATGGATTCGGTATCGGTGGTGGCTTAAATGGTCATATCGGTGCTCAAATCGGTGGCTTTGGTGGTGGAATAAATGGTGGTATAAATGGTGGTATAAATGGTGGTATAAGTGGTGGTATAGGTGGTCACATCGGTTGGCCAGGATTTCCTGGAGGTCAATGGTCACCTGGAACTGGAACACCTGTTTCATCGAATTTTCAACTTGATGAAAATCAAATGGGTGAGATTAATAGGATGGTTCCATGGCTGCAAAATCCAGGGGGGCAGCTAGGATCTCTATCGCCTGGCTTTCCGAATTTGCCTGCTCAATGGCCGAATTTGCAAATTGATGAAAATCAAATACGTAAGATTATTGGGTTGTTTCCATGGCTGAAAAATCCATCGAGGAAGCAATGGCTTGAATCCTCTATAATACCTAATTTTCCTGCTGTTTCACCTGGTCAATTGCCATCTGGAGGTGTTCCATGGGGGCAGCCATGGCCTCTATGGCCTGGATCCCCTATAACAATTAATTTTCCTGTTGTTTTGCCTGGCCAATTGCCCCAACCTTGTGATGTTCCATCGGAAGAACATCAACGACCAAAATCGCCTTCAAAGAAACCAAGCATTATGGAAAGTGTGATAAAAAGACTACCATTCTATATTTTTGAGAAACCGATTCGTGTACACCACCGTAGACGTTATGACGAAGAAGTTCGTCTGACACAAGATGAGAATTCAAATTCATTTGCAAATGGCTCAGATGAAGATGGCTCAAATGAAGATGATTCAGATCAAGATAGCTCGGATGATTCAGATGGCTCGCCGGTCGATTCGGATTTTGCTTCATATAATTCCCAAATGTATGATATTAAACCTTCAGATATGAATGCAGCTATGCCAGAAGATCAATCAGCACCGGATTCGCTACCGCCACCAGCAGCAGCAGTAGCAGCACGAGTTTCGGCGACACGATCAGAACAGGCTGGTAATGAACAGGCCGCCAGAAAAGCATACGAATTATATAAATCTGCGCAGCGTCAGTACCACTAATTAATTCATTTTAATTCCCACTCATAGATTCTGACGCATCCTGATCTGGTTGATTTTGACCCATGCTGGCGTTTTTTGACCCGCAACGTGATTTTGTCGACCCATCAAGAATATCAATAATTCCGACTTGATTTTGTTTGACACCCTCTTTGATTTTTCAAAAGTGAGGACCTATTTTTGATCTTCACTTTTTTCCCGAAAACTAGAGTTAATTTTTTTTGACCCCATCATGAATTTTTGGTCTGATCCCATCTAAAAAAAATTTGATGTCAGAACCTATTTTTCCACTATTTTGTATTGGCTACTCGGCCAATTTTGATGCCGTAGTAAATTGTGCAATAAATTAAATTTGTCTTCTCTCATTGTATTGTCATCGCCATTTTCTTTTTTGCTTAATCAAATGAAAAAAAAATCGAATTGCGTACAATTTGACAAGAGCAGCTTTATGCTGTTTCTAATTGTCAATGTAGAATAGGGGAGAGGTTTGTAAGTTGACCATGGATCCTTGATATTTTCATAACTTTTCGAAAAATCGAGATATCGTAAATGTAAGAATACCGTTGGAAAGAGGACCTCAAAATCTACAATTTTGCTGAAGAAACTTATTCGATTTATTAAAAAAAAAAAAAAATTCAATCGATTTTCCAAGTGGCTTGAAATTGAGAAGAAAAAAATTATGGCATGTAAGTTGACCACCCCCTGAAAAATCCCCAATAATGTAAGAAACATTGAGTAAAAACACCTGATTTACAAAATTTAAAATTGTTTCTTCCATTTTCATTCAAATTATTGGCTTTAGACGCAAAAATAAGAACAATGTTGAATATTTCTGATGAAAAGTGTTATCGGTTCCATGTTATTCTGATATATTTCGAAAATTGAAAAATATTGCCCAAAATTTCACTAAAATGCAATAAAAATACTTTAAAATTGAATTGGTTCAGAATTCCAACATGTAAAAAATTAAGACAGTGGAAATCAACTTAGAAGTCCAAAGGGTGGTCAACTTACATTTTTTGATGACTTTGCAAAATGTATCATTTTTTTTTTCAAGCCACTAACTGCTTGGAATTGGCATTGGATTATGAACATACATTAAAAACTGCTATGTAAAGATTATATTCACTTCTCGATATTGATACAAATTATCCAATTTCCGATGACCGGTAAATATTTTGATTATTTTTCTCGAAAAAGTACACAGTGCTTGTATGACTAACTAACAAAGCGTTTTTTGGCCCAGAAATCAAATTAAAGTGGAGTCGCTTGTTTTAATGACGTTGAAAGTGCAAATTCTGGCATTTTTAGTGTCAGAAATATGAAATACCACGGGGTGGTCAACTTACATGCATGGTCAACTTACAAACCTCTACCCTACAGTCTGTCTAGTTATAGACGATAAGGGATATCTAAGTGAAAACACAAGAATTTTTCAAATTTCTCTTTCGAGATATTTTTATTGAGCCTTCAGCTCGGTCGCAAACAATTCAATAGTTAATCCATTCGCCTTGTTTTTCGATAACACGGGCACAGCGTGAAGGCATACTTTTGCTCAAATTTTCAGCATATTCTCGCGAAAGGCTGTCCCACTGGCGCTTCAAGAACAAAGTGAGATGTTTTGTGCTTCGAATATGTTTGCCTTTGAGTCTCTGCTTCATGATGGACCAAACGTTTTCAATCGGATTGCAGTCTGGAGATTGAGCCGGCCAATCCATCTGTTGAATCCCATTTTCCTCTTTCCAAGCAGTACATAAACGACTTTTGTGTTTTGGGTCGTTGTCTTCTTGTAGAATCCATTTCGACGTATCGTTGCCATAGAACTTCTTGGCGGTGGGGAGCAATGTCGATTTGTACAACTGGCGCATTCGATACTTCTCTAGGATACCAGTAAACACGGTTAATTTACCAAAACCGGCTTCACAGAATGCTCCATACACATGCACCTTTTGCGGATGCTTAACCGTGCGAACCACCGTTCTTTTTTCGCGTGTGCACCAAGTATGGGTGAGGGAATTCGACAACCAAAACTATGATTCATCTGTGTATATAACTTTGCTCCAATCAGTGTCCAAATTTTCGGTTGTAGTCGTTTTTCGATATGTTCTGGTTTCAAAAGAGGTTTTTTCATTGTGGAGCGATACTTTAACGACATTTTACCTAATCTCTTTCGCAGTGTCTCTCTTGAAACGTTGATATTTGATCGACGTAGTCGTTGTACCCCCTGACGCAACGACAAACCTGGGTTTTGATCGAAAACCTTAGCAATATGCTGATCTTGCTTCGGCGTGTATGCTCGGTTGGGCTTAATGTTTGGCTGGTCGTTCACATTTTTTTCACGTTTATATTGTTCTACCCAACGCTGGACGAATGGCACCGTTTTTTTAATGTATCGGGCGGTCGCTGTAAGCGATAATTTTGGCCCGCGTGGATGCAAATGCAGGAAAACTGCTTCGAAACGTTTAGTATAGTATTCCGAATTCATGTTTTCAATTAAAATAAGAGCACCAATGTGACTTTACATCTGTCAAATGCAGTTTGCGGCCGAGGTTAGAGTCGCATCTGACCACACCAAAAAGCCTATTTAAATATATTCAAATTTGAACATCGTTTTCCCTTATCGTCTATAACTAGACAGACTGTATGTGTGTATTTTTTTCCTTGGATCGAACAGAGTTTAATTTTGCCGGAATAAAATTGAATTTGAACAAAACTTCATTTTTTGTTTCAATGCTTTGACAACCTTATTAAGTTGATCGTGCCAACCAATGGGTAGTTATTGCATCACGAAAGCGGAAGAAAGTTGAAATCGCTCAAATTATGGTAAATGCCACCAACAATTATTATTATGACATTTTGAGTCACAACAATGGGATATCGGACGATGAACGAGCAGCAGACATGAATGCACAAATTGATGGTATATGTTTGTTAACTAATTTTTTCTTTCCAAATATCTAATCGGGTTGATTGATCGATTTGTAGACCTACTGAAAGAGGTGCCAAACTCAAAGCGCGAGCAAAACATCGACGTTGAATTTGATCTGGAGCGTACCGAAGAAATGTCAACAATGGTTTATTTTGACAAGCTTCATGCAACTGTGAATGAAATGTGTGAACAGCAATTTCAACAATCGGAGCAAATTGATTAAAATCAACGATTTATCTGGCTACACAAGATCATCTCTGTCCTGAAATGAATGAGAAACGTCGTGAATTAACTTTTAATCCTTCGGCAAGCGATTCGGTTATTGCTTTGTACTATGATTTACTTGCCATGCACAGCAACGGAAAAAATGTTGAATGTAATAATGAAAAACAACCTATTAAAAAATGACTACATAAAATATGAGAAAACCGGGAAAATGAGCGAAATATTTGAAATTCATCCACTGTGGGCAGCCATAATGAAAATGGTAAACAATGGTGAAAAAGCCATCCAAATTGGGCTGACGGTCGACGCAAATGAACTCAGCATGGATTTTGTAAAAGCTATTTACATCGCTTACTGCCAAGCATGTAACACGACTGAAGAAATGAAAAACAAGAAGAACGCTGAACTAAAAGCATAGGCGTCCAGACTATTTAGTGAATGACCTCAACAATATCATGAAGAGTGAAGGCATATTATTCAGATGGGACATAACTCCATTAGCAATATTAAATTCAGAACTACGACCAATTCGCATTTCGGAGCTCAGAGAACTTTTATCGAAGGCAAAACTGACGCAATATATAAATGAAAACGATATGCCAGCTTTAATGGTGACATTATCAATGTTAATTGGATCGATTTTTGTTTGTACAATTTATCTTGCAATTTTTGTATCGATCTTCATCATGTCTTTAACATACTGTCAGCCAAAAGTTAAATAATGATCTCAATCCAAGAATGTTGTTTTCTCTCTTTTTCATTGATACATTCTTTTGAGTTAACTACTTTTGTCCATTTTTTTTTTAATTATTGTTTCAATGGTTCGATAACGTTGTCCCTTTTAAGTACGTATTCACCTGATGTGAATATCAATTGTTGTTTGAGACGCCAAATCCAATCGATATGGAGAAAATAGAGCAAGACCATTTATATTTCAATGTAATTTCCAGTCGCATGAGTGATGTGCAAATCCATCAATATGCTTCCTGATGTGTCGTCGATGTTCGGCAAAAGTAGAACAAGCGAAAATCAAAGCCAAAACACACACACACACACACACACACATACACATATTTTGAATGCCGTTTCGTATTCAACACGACATCGATACAGAATTGGGCAGACGTCTTTTTCATCGAATTAATACTGTCAATGCAGAGATTTTGGTTGCATGTCTTGATATCTCTACCTGTCATTATATTTCGGTTTTTACTTCTTCATTTCTCTTCTTTGTACTAGTATTATGTCGGGAGAAAGAAAAGGAGAAAACCGATGTGTGTTGTTGTTGTCGCACTCAATTTGGAATGGATCTCAAATTGTGTGTGTGACACGTTAAGTTACAAATGTACCGAGTGAGTCTCAAACGAGAACACCGTTTCCATTCGCATGAATGTTATACACATCACCATTGATTTGTGTGCGTATTTTTGCTGTTAAGAGCTGCTGAATACTTTAGAAGTGTGCGTCTGGTTGTACTTTGCGCCCGTTAGCTACACACTGCTTATGACATTTACCGGTGCAAACGTATCCGAATCGGTCAGAAAGTGTGCGAGAAAATTACGCAAAATGGCACGGATATCCATTTAGTATGCCGTGTGAAGTAATCCACAAGAGAGATATGTGTGTCACTGTTTGTTTTTTTTCTTTTCTTCATTTGATTCCTCTGTCGTTTGCTTGCATCATTCCCAATTCTCCATACCAATATTCCTTTTTAACACACTTGCTTTTTCCATTCGCTTTAAATTTTCTTATGTTGTCTTTGTATGTGTGTATGTTTTAATTCTGGTTGGCTTTTTTTTCTTCATTCGAAAGCTTATTACATTTTCGCATTATTTCGGCGTGTGTGCATGTTGTCCTTTGTTGTGCGCCATCGTCATCGCATTTTCTTTTGGGACAACAGCAAATAAAAGAGATTATGCTGTGACATGAACAATGACGTTATGTGTGTCGCTTTTTCCTTTAGATAGATGATATGTTTATGCATGTGTATGCTTGAATGCTGTATTTGCTTGGTTATATATGTGTGTGTGTAATATTGTTGCCTGTTTGGATGGGGTGCACTTGTGTTCAACGATACGCGTACATTCTTAGCATTGACTAGCAATTGACTAGGGTTTGTTGGCAATAACCGTTTTTTTTTGTTCGTTTCATTTAATCACATCAAGTCGAACGCTCTAGTATTATTAAATTAGTTGGAAGGGTCATGAAAAGTGTTAAAAATAAACTTAATTTCATGCAAAAAAAAACTATCACATCATTTTTTCGCTCGTGTCTTCCATCCATGGAAAAACGCTGAAAATCCATCACCATTCAGTTTTACCATGAATTTTATTAAGTTTTATTCGTGATTTTCAATTGGACACAGGTAGTGCAATTTTCAAGCCAATGCCAACGAAATGAAAATAAATCGAATGTAATTTTGAATGACTAAGTTTCTGTTGCTCATTCAGCATTTTCGTTGAATATGTTGGATTAATGTAGCTGACAAACGCACGTACGAATTCTAATCGACATTTTCGGTTCGTTGTTGTATCCACACAAGTTGTGCACAAGCTCTAGCCGTTGTCGCTGTTTACATACACACGAACACACACATAAACACATACAAAAACTTTTGCGCTTCGGTTGGTGTTGTTTTGAGGGTGGGGAATAAGAAGCGAACGACAAATAAATTGGAATTCATTGCAATCGAAAATAAGACTTTATGCCGAAGTTAGTGTCATTGAAAATGACTTTTTGCTCGCATGTTTTCCACATTCGCGCTAAGTATTGCTCATATTTATGTGTGTGTGTGTGTGTGTCATGGCACGTTTGCCGTTAATCCAACGTAACGTAGCACATTTCCAAAGCTTTCGTCCATAGCTCAAAGCGGGAAATATCACAATGCAATACGTATCGAGTGTACTCTTTCACATGGTCTGTCCGTTTTCCGTCTCTTAATCCCTGAACCGAAAATATAGGTCGAGCTTGTGCATTTTTAATGCGCGTTACTTTTTTCATGTTGTTTTAATATTCGAATCTTTTGAAATTTTAACGCAGATGGAATTGAATGGGAGGAAAAAAATTGAGGGGTGGAATAGAATGACGGGGAGCGAGCAAGCGTAAAAGAATAAAAAAAAGGAACTAAAAAGAAGAACAGTAGACACGAGAGCTCAAGGAATTCCCTGACTTTATTTTCAGGGCACATTGCCTTGCAATTGATTGCCACGCTTGCGATTATACATCCACCGCTGCTTGAATAAAAGATTTATTCGTTGGACAAAGCGTTGACTTGCATAGCAATTGAACACACAGCCGAGAGAGCGAGAGAGAGAGAGAGAGAGGGAAATTCGAATGCAAAATATTCCCACAAGAATTGCACGTGTGTAGCGCACACGATAGCATGTATGCAACTTGTGAACAAAATAATTGTTGCGATTGTAGCCCTCGCTATTGTTACACAATACACACTCATACACAAATAGGTGGCATCGAAGGGAAAATCAAGTTGTATCGAAATATTTTCCAACAAGTCGGCTTCATAAGTCGTCATACGACAGCTTCGACTTTCAATTTGAATACAAACGCTTTCCATTTTTTAAATTCTCTCTTTATCGTTTTCTTCCTTTCCTCATTTTTCTCTATCACTCTCCCTCTCCCACTCTATCTTGCTCGTTGGCACTCTGAACGAATGTTCACATTGCTATTGGATGCATGAGATAGGAAAAATAATAGCCATTTCAAGGACTCGGTTATCGAAGTTTGTTTTGGTGATTCACCAAAACACATTTGAATTTTGGATTTTTTCATCGTTTGTTTTTGTTTTTGGTCTCAACGAATTTTGATTTTCCAATCAACAAACATGGCATACCAATTTAGTCAGCATGCCGCAGCTAAGCTAATCGCAATGATTTCAAACGATTCAACAAATATGCTCTCTTCAATGTGTCAATATTTGCGCGCGTGTGTTTAGTTAGAATTGGCAAAAGTCGGAGTAATCGTTCGTTTCGAAACAAACGGAACCAATAACACTCGTGAAGGGTTTTGAATCATCAATCAATTACCTTCCCCGAAATGGGGGGAAAAAATATGGAATTGCCGATGGTTTGCTACAGTGAAAAAAAAAACGTTTTGAAAAATCAAAATGGTGAATAATCGTCATTTCGGCGTAGACCATCACCACAACTCCCCCACCACCATCAATAACAACAATGTGGATGGTGCCGCCACAAATGTGTTTATTCACACACACTCCATTTTTGTTCCGTTTCATTTCGGAACATGTAAACGCAAATGAGAGATTATATGTATATATCGTGCTTTCATCTTGGAATAAACATTTTTTGGTATATGTTTCGCTTCAACCGTTCTAGCCGATATTTCTGCGGACGGCTGAAGTGTACGCAGTCACGCAAAGTGCTAATGAAATGGGTGTGTGTGTATGTGCTTGTTGTACAATTCCCGATTCTATGAATTTTAAAAATGAACACACACCAAATTAGACACACCAATTTGCTTTGGTGGGTTTTATTTATTTTTTTTTTCGCTTGAAAACAGGAGAGTTCCCTTTTTTGGCTTTTTCGGCTTCTTCTTCTATTTGCACCTAATTTATTTTTGTGTTTCCTTTCTCTTTGCTATTTGATGGATATTTGCTTTAGTGACGGCATGAGCCATAATCATCGCCATCAGAACAATGAGCCATTGTTTGCCTACAAAAGAAATTTATACACATGATGAAAAAGAAAGCACTGTGACGAGGCAAAGAAAGTGAGAAAACAAAGGGAAAAAATCGCACATCAAATACAACGTTTTTGTTTAATAAACAGCGTTTATTGGGCTACATCAATCATAAATTTGGGACAAAATGAATGAATGAATGAATTCAATGAATTCATTTTTCCATGGCACGTTCGCAGGTCCAATAGTAAATATCCTCGTCTGACAAATCATTAACATGTATACCTACGCACACACCAAATTACCGATATGATAATAAGTTTGATATTTGGAAAAGAAAGTAAGAGAGAGAGAGAGAGAGAGAGAGAGAGAGAGAAAGAGAGAGAGAGAGAAAGAGAGAGAGAGAAAGAGGGGGAGGAGAAAAGGCAGAGAAAGTAGGATGTCAATTAATGTATAAATTCAAGGATCGATCTAATTAGTCAGGTTGAATTGTACTCTCGCACACAACAAATCAACCACTTATTTTGATATGATGAAAATCATAACTGTCGATACTCATGAATGAACAATTATTTCAATCACATCTATCTTAATTATACACTCTCCTTCTGATTTTCTTTAATGGCTTTGACCATTTTTGATGATAGGTTCTTTTTTTTGGGAGGTAGCAGTTATGATTTAATGAATATTTAATTCCATTGCATACGGAAAATGTTCATTAAAACGTAATAAAAAAGCTTTTAAATAAAAAAAAGACCGAATTATTTGTATCACATGGAAATTATTTGAATAATTGAATTTTGTTTCTTTGTCAACAAACAGGTCCGAATTGATTACATTTTACTATTTTGTCAGTCAACAGCTTTTTCTCGATAATATTTATTAATCAATAGCTATAAAAAATATTTTTTGCTTACCTGTTAAACGGCTGATGTTTTGTTATTTTGCTCAGAATAATCCTTGATGGCGAAAACTCATTATTCGAACTCTTTCTAATTTCAAAAAAATGAACTTTTATTTGGCCGCGATTGAAAAACGGTATTCGCGAGAAGAAACACAATTTTCGTTACTTTGTCAAAGAAATAAAAAAAATACTAACAAAAGCATTGGTTTCTTTTTTGCTCTCAAAAAAACACAAAAATCAAATATTAAAACTCAACACTATAAATACTATCAAAGGGATTGAAGTGGATGCAAAGAGTGAGAAAACCGAAAACTAGTTGTTTAAATGGATTTTTGCAGCGGGGATAATTCACGATATACTTCAAATCGATGCTTTTCGTGGAGATCCGATTTACGTTTAGCTAAACGAAATCTCTTTCATTCACCTGCATTTAGAAGAAGAGGAGAAAAAAATGAAAGAAAATGTTGAAAATTAGATGATATTTCTTTGGATAAAAGACTGAAGCAAGAAATTGGTTTTTATGTGAAAACTTGCGATAATGACGACGACGATGACGACGACGACGACGTCGATGGTAACGAAGCCATCGGAGATTTTCAAATCAAATGACATGCATGCACAACTTTCAACGCCATTGCGGTTTTTTTTTTAATGTTGAAGCAGCTGCCGTTCATTGGCCTTTACACGAGCCATAGCAAGCTCATACACATAAATCATTTTTCAGTATTTTTTCCGTCCCTTATGTTTTACAGTCCAGTTTAATATCGAAATAATCACAGAGCGAATGAAAAATCAAGCGAATGAACATGGCTGTTGAAAATGTTTTAAATAATGCAAATAAAATACGTTGCGTACGTTTAATCCCACAAAATGGACTGTGATTGCCTGAAGTTAGAAAGATGTGCTAAAAGCTCATGGGCCATCACTTAACTCCAAAGCGTCCAAACGAAAGCGTGAAAAAAAAGAACACGTATTTCACGATGAAGTGCCAAACTGTGAACGCATAGCAACAACATCCGTTTTATCGGATCGCAGGAAGAAATTGATATGCGAACACAGTTATGATGGCAAATGGTCTTGCCCGGTCCGGAGCAATCATCAATTTTTGATGCAAACATTTTATGCGTTAAAGTGTCAACAACTTTTACCGTCATAAAAGCGACAAAGAAACTAGTATCAGTGCAAAGCAACGCACAGACACTCACACGACTCTGGCAAAAGAGAACATGTGAAATGGATAACTGTAATATTGATAGTGGTGGTTTATATTACTTTCGGCAACGATGAAAACTCAAGCCAACATTAATAAATCGTATACATTTAATGATTGCGACGCAGCACAAATCCCCAGAGATGGAATGACGACGAGAGACAGATAGTGAGAGTAAGAGAGAGAAATGTTGAAATAGTGAAAATTTATACCGTCTGCCCGAATCGTACGCTTAGACGAATTCATAATGTAAATGTCACAAGACTGAACAAATATATGCGACTATCAGTCGCTTTAAAAATGGAAACTACACGCAATTTCACCAGAGAGACATGACTGCATCACATGCGTAGTTTCACCTACTTACATTTTATTAAAAACGTTCCGAATGTGAATGCTTCAGCATATATCAGCATCGGAGTTGATGCTGTTGCTGCTGCTGCTGATGCTGATGCTGCTGTTTTTGTTGCTCTTTGTTTTCGAAGCAGACATGGTTCAAGGTAATTTTCACCATGAATTTTATATTAAAACCATGTATTTGCGCAAATAAAAGATGACACATAAAAAGCGTACGATATAATCGAATACGGTGTGCAAAAATGTGTGCAATAACAAATCGTGTTAAAAGATAAACGATTCTTGACTACAAGCCGTGATCCATCGTGTTTGTTTTACTTTCAGCGCTCATTTTAATGCTATAAAAGTGAAAATATGAGAATTTTATTCAACAAAGCACTTTTTTCATGTGAGAAATATTTTCCTCTCTTCCGTTCGCTTGCAGTCTCGTTGGAGCTGCCGAGATGGTATTTTGTGCAGGAAGAGAGGAAAAAAATCACGTTGTTTCTCTTTTTTCGGTGTGATGCATTCATTTTATGCTGGAGTACTTCCTGTATGCATTCCAGCGAATAAATGTTGTATTTTTGCACTTTAGTGAATATTTAAATGTACTGCGAAAAACTAGATAGTGGAACAAACTGACTCAATGTGTTTTTTTTTTCAACATAAAATGCATAGTGTTTGTTCGTATGTCTGAAGAAGTAAAAAGATGAACTCAATTATTTGTCCATTTCGTATGATATGTTCACATTTGTGTTGAACATTTAATTACAAAGTTGTCTACCATTTGGTTGAATGGGGTACACAGCTGGCACAAACAGCCAGAGTTTCAAATGCTCTAATTACATTTGTTTGCATGCGCTGATATTGAATTCTAATTGCTTGTTGTTTATTTACAATGCGCTCGCTTGAGAGTGTATGCTTTTCTTTTATTATTTATAAACTTGTTAATTCTCTAAACTGGTGTTGTCGCTGTGTGTTTCAGTGTGAGCTGAGTGGTTGCGTCTACTTGCTTGCTCGAAACATTGGCTTTGCTCAAAGGTGCTTGTGTTTTAGTAACGACTTTATCAACACATAATCATTATGTAGTATATATTCAAAATGCATAGACATCGTCAACGTGCCCCGTTAATGGGAACGATTCATTGCTTACGCACAGTTCTTTCGTACGATATCTGCCATTTTGTGTTTAATTTTTAATTTTGAGTAATTTTTTTTTGTTTCTTTTCGTGTGTCTTTTGAAGGTGAAGAAAAACTTCGAACGCCAAGAATTTCTAACTTTGTTGAAAAAATAACAAAGTTTCCTCAACTTTTCATAGAAAATCACTTTCAAATAACCATTTTCGTCTTTGTTTTTTCTGTAAACTTTTTATTCAAGTTGAAAAACATTTTTCTTCTGTGAATTTCCACTATCATTTCAGTTGAAATGCATGCTCAGCGATAGAATACAAGATTTCCACATAAAAATTGCATGCCAAGCCAATCAGATGCATCGACACTTTTAACCTTTCTAAATTATTTCCATCATTCCAAATTCGAAATTGAATTCAATTTGGTCAAAGCTACGTATTCATCCTTCATTTGTGTTAAGTCATTCATTACTTCATTACAGACTACTGACTCTTCTATTTCTGTACATACAAAAATAAAACCATTCAATTGCCGCAAAATATGGGTGGCTACAAAAACGTGTTTACGTGATGGCACTCAGCGAAATTAAAATCCAAAGTGAGGGATATAATTATTTCGAAAGAAAGAGAGGAAAAAACAGTGTCGTATAGCATTTCATACCTAATGTTCCATATTAACTTGTTCGACTTTGTGGCCGGCCTGTAAATGTGTCCAATTATAGTGGCAAATGCGAACGCATTATATCGTCGATCACGTTTTATATCGACCAAATTTATGAAATGAAGCGAAAATAGTTTTCGTTCATCACGAAAAATTACCTTCAATTGCGGTTACATAAAGAGCTCGTTACGTATTCGTTTTACTTTTCCGTTATTCTTTTTATTGAGTTTTGCAAGCGATTGCATGAGTAAATTACACAAAAACAATACAAAGATGTGTTGAACAAAGGTCAAAAGTGGAAAAAAGCAGGGAAGAATTGTTGAAACGAAAGGAAATATATTGAACGTGGTGGACATTGGGAAGACAACAACAGATACGACCCCAGAAACTGGAAAAGTTGTCGGAAAACAAATGTCTGAAACGAACAGTTGACACCGAACGAAATTACAACGAGCAAGAGTGAAAAAAAATGAGCGCAAAAAATCTGTGTCATGAACTTTGAGTGAGTGACAGTAAGAAAACAGCGAGCACGCTGCGTTGTGTTTGTGCTGTGGCAGAAGCATGGCATGGAAAGAAAGAGACGACGACGAGAAAAAAAAAATATAACGAATTTTCTCAATGGAAGCGTTGTCGAGGAAATGGTTGCACAATAACAAGCGAAAAAATTAAAAAAATGAGTTGCACAGAAGTTAGATAGTTAGTACACGACGAAACGGAACACTGCTGCTACTGCGACGGTGGCTTCAGCCACTGTGTGATGTGTTTCACACAATTCTAGGCCTGTGAGCACGAGCTCGTCGTTTATATTCTTTTATGTGTGTACGTTTTTATTTTTCTTCATCGTACTCAACCACGGCGTGTTGGCTGGTTTTTATCCGCGTGCCACTTCAATTTATGGCGCGTTATAAATCGATGAATTTCGCATTTGACACTTGAAAATAAATTATGTGTGCATCGTGAATGTGGATTTGAAAGTGATGGCAACCGTTTTTATTGATGCCAATATCACTCTCTTACTCATCCATTCACTTACTCTCAGCTCACACTCGTCGACATATTACCTTCTTCTAATCCACTATTCGACCGAATTTGTGCTATTTGTATCAAATGCGTTCAATATACATATATATACATATATATTTGAATATTCTATGTGTTAAATTTAACATACTCTGTCTCTCCTTTTTTCTCTCTTCCGCTCTCTCTCTCTCTCTCTCTCTACGTCTCTCTCTCTCTCTACGTCTCTCTCTCTCTCTCTCTCTCTCTCTCTCTATCTTTTCCTCGTTTCTCTATCGAAATGATTTGCGATATCGTGATGTTGAACCCAAGTGTGCGTGCACTCGATTGTGGTGGATTTAATTAGGGATTTTCTCGATGGGTCTCACTTTGCTCCAACGAAGGATTACCTTCCGTTTTGGTCTCGACCCATTATTATTTGCTGACTTGTTTATGTATATGCATCAAAAATGAAAATCATTCAATCAGATCGAACGTGCCACGTCGCTATCGATCCAAATCGACCGTTCATATCCTTATTACGGCTCTGATTCGAAATTCAATTGAATGTTTTGTGTGCTTTTTTTCCCTTCGTTGGTTTTCATTCTCTGTGTTTTGCTTATTTTGCATAATCCGACCTTTTCTTGAATCAACTCCACACACAGACATTGTGCTAAAATCGATTTATTCCCATTATTCTGTAGTTCTAAATGCCATTGATTATTACGACTCAACTACTACTTTCCACAATGGATCATTTTTCTTAAATTGAGATCCTCTACTGGGAAATTAAACATATTTACCACAATCTTCATTTACTTATTATTTCAAATGAAACTGCTTTATATGAGGCTTCATCGTCACTATCACATAACTCGAGAAATTCAATTCTCGTCTTATGTGAAGCAGAATCAAAGTGTTCAGTGAACACTGTTTACCTTAACGTTTCTGTATGAGAAGCGATTCTTTGTTGAGTTTCCAGAAAATCGCGTTTAAAACTCATTGAATCCAGCGCTTATGCACGAGTTGATGAAAAATAACGAGAATTCCTAATGGAAATCCAGTACTTGCAATTATAAGGCGTGAGACGC